TTGTGCTTCCTTTTTCTGGTTTTTTTAGCTATAACGTTTCATAGAATACAGATAATTGAACAAACTTTGTTGCATTACATTCTTGATTAAATTATCTTTCCATTGAGATATAATTTTATGGTAGTACTGCAAAAAACAAAAAGGGGTGTTATTAGCCATCAAACCTCAAAAATGCACTTTTCCCAAATGGTTTCCACAATTTTGGCCACTACTGTACAAGCAAAATATTTATATTTTGCCCTGGCCCCACTAATGTTTTGGAGTGTGGTCCCAGCATGCCACTTCAAGTTCAAGTGTATTGCACAATTACATGGATATTTACTTCTTATGCCATAATGAATTACTGTCTGGGTTAATAATTAAAAGTATCAGTAAGTGAAACATTCTGAATTGTCAAATTTATGATGCCACCTTGGGAATACAGGGTTCCAAATATTATTTCTTTAATTTCTAATGTATTCCATAAAAAATAAATGCAGTGATGATTCACTGAACATAGTGTTTCTTGGTTAACATGCTTAGGATCATGCTAAGACACTATACTGCAAAACAGGAGGGAGAAGACAAAAGGGTTTTGAGATCATATTCTTGGATAATATAGTAAAGTCCCATTTTATTACAAACAAATGCTTTAAGGAGCCGTGATGGTGCATTGGTTAGAATGCAGTATTGCAGGCTAACTGCCCACAGCCAGAAGTTCAATCCTGACTGGCTCAAGGTTGACTCAGCCTTCCATCTTTCCGAGGTCGGTAAAAAGAGGACCCAGATTGTTAGGAGCAATATGCTGACCTTTGTAAACTGCTCAGAGAGTGCTGTAAAACATTACGGAGCAGTATATAAGTCTATGGGCTATTTCTATTAATTGTGAGTAGTCATGTTTCTTCAGGAAATAATAGTATTAAAAAGCTAAAAACTTCATTTAAATCACTCTACTTAAATGCAAACATTCTCACATTAGCCACGCCCTATAAACTTTTCCAAGAGTTTTATTTTGCAGATATTATCAAATACAGTCTTATGTAGACAGCACATCAGACATATCTTCCCAAAATGTAATGACACAAACTTGATTTTATTTCATTCACTATCCCTCTAACCCAGTATACTAGATTCCTAAGGGGCATGCTGTGGTTTGCCTTCGGTATCATTTCTCCACCAATCATACATTCATTCTTCCCGCTCAGACTAAGAAGGAAGGTAGTGCTCCAGCCTTAATGTCATTGCTTCACATCTTTCCACATATACTTACCAAGAAGAGATACTGCAGGCCATAAATTATAGAGTTTATTGTTAGTACAGGCTTCCAGTCCTCTCTGTGGGCCAAAAAAATAATGAAAAAAATGAGCAGGGGGTCAGGAAAGTTTACCCAACTAAAAAAAATAACAAAATAATTTTGTTTTAGTTTCACATTGTTAAAAAAAAAGCCTGAAATATGTTTAATATCCCAAATCCTTAAAAAAATGAAGTCAACAGTTCTTAGAATCAGACCTTTAAAATATAAGATGCATTTTAATTACATTTTCATGGTCCCACTGGCAATATCCCAAAACTAAAATTATTGACAAGCCTCTTTCAGGATTTTTTTTCCTTATCGCCCTTTTAATTATGAAGGCATAACAGGATTAAAAAACAAAACAAAACACAAATATGTGCAACATTCCAAAATAAAGTCAGCAGTGTTCAGAAATACACCCACTAGAATGGAAGACTGCCTTCCTTAATCCGTACTGTCTACGGCTGAGGGCAGTTCCAGTTCAATACATGCCCTCTTGCAATCTTCTGACAAGCAAAGTCAATGGGAAATCCAGATTCACTTAACAACCAAGTTGCTAACTTAACAAATGCAATGATTCACTTAACAACTGTGGCAAGAAAAGTCGTAAAATGGGGCAAATTCACTTAACAAATGCTTTACTTAGCAACATAAATTTTGGGCTCAATTGTGGTCGTACCTCAAGGGCTACCTGTATTAGAACAACAGAACATGTTTTGTACCTGAGGATATTTAGGCAAACATTGCCTTCTAAATCTATGTTTGGGTGATATACCATAGTCTCACATTTGACTTTTGGGGGGTCATGCGGGTAACCTTGCCCCACCTGCAAATAAAACACAAAACAGAGACACACTGTCAGTTTTTTTATGTTCATTATGGTACATTCAATATTCTTTCCAAAAATATGGGGCCATCCACATAGCGATCTAAGGCTTTCCCATTCTTCACTAATTTCCTGCCAGTAGATTTTGAGTTTTGCCATACCTCAATGGTTGCTACTGTTGTTCAGTCACTGTCATGTCCGACTCTTTGCAACCCCATGGACCATAGCACGCCAGGCCCCCCTGTTCTCCACTGCCTCTGGGAGTTTGCCCAAATTAATGTTCATCTCAATGGTACAAAAGATAAATTATATTTTGAAGTATACAATGCCCCAAACTAGAATGGGGAAACAGGAGAGGAGTTTTGGCTTCTCTATCTATGTATACAATGTAATGTGTCCAGATAATCGATGTTCACTACTCAATTTTATGAAGATTTCAAAATGTGAAGTATTTGTTTGCATGGCTGTTTCAATTACATTGCTTTCCTTGTTTTAAGAACTTGATTGTAGAGCAATACGAAAACAGTTGCTACAACTGAGTTGCTGAGATTATGAGCTCCAAATCCTTATGAGTACAAACACTGACAAGGATCCAAATGACAACCATAGAGTAAAATAATGAACCATGCATACTACTCTGAAAATTTGGAAGGATGCAATAAAAATGCAATTGTTTCAAAGACAGTAGCTTTTTTGCATCATGCTTTAGTGCTAAAGGCAGGAAACTTAAATACTTTCAAAGAATTGAAAGTACTGGGTAGTTTTGAAAAGTTTCCAAGATCTTTCCCATAAGAATCCTTCCCTCTAATCACTTTATTTAAGACTATTTTAATACTTCATTTTTGTCTCTTCTTGGGAAGGAGAGACTTCTGTATGAAATTCTCAGCAGAAACCTGAATATTAGACCTTTTCCTTTCTCTTCTGACAAACAGCCCAAAAAATATCCTAATTTCTAATGATAGTTCTGACTCACTGAGCAGATTTTTAACAAAGTTAAGAACTGCCAAAAGCAGAAATGGCAGATGTTGCCACACCATGAGGTTTTTCTGCTTTCTTAATCTCCAGTTAAAGAGACAGATTTTCTAAAAACTTACACACTCCATTTTGGCCTGTTGGGTTGTTATATTCAAATACATTTCAACACTCCAGTTTTTTCTGCATTAGCATTATTTTAACCCAATTGTCTTGAGGTTTTCATAGAATCACTTTTTCCCCTACAGCGTATACATATTTTACCCTAAGCATTTTTATTAGAAAGATTGGAAAACGTTCTAAGCAATTTTGGGCTGTCCTGTGCTTTAAGCAACCTGCGCATTCAGACATGTATTAATATTCATTACTACTGGATTGTCTTTCAATGAAATCTGAGGCTATTGGGAGGTCAATACATATCTATGAAGTACTGTCCATTTCTTTGATATCTAGTTAACATACAATTAATTTTAAAACATAGTTCACTTCAAATTTCTGAAAATCCATACATAGAAGCTGACCCAATGAGTCTCAGACAGTAACCATTAACAGTTGCTTTCTTCCATAATAGTTCAGTACTATTCCTTATTATTGTTCTTTTCAACATTTGTTTCATTCTCAGCAAATCATTTATTTCATTAACACCCTCTAACAGGCAAAAGATCTAGGACAAACTTCGTAGACGCCTCCTCCCCATCTTTAATCATATTTCGAAGCATACTTGGGACTCTGCAAAATTGCTCATTGAGTAATCAATCTACTGTTTGGAGTCCCAAAAACTTTAGGGACTTTTCCTAGTTCAGGAGCAAAACCCTACTCAGCTCTAGGTAGAAAAGAGTTAAGCACCCAAACACATTTGATTTTTGCAACCTACAGTTCCCAGCCTTTGCTCTGAATTGTTCTTATAATGACTCTTTTTGTTGAGTTGATGCCATTCATCCATATGTTGCTACCCAAATTACACAGAGATGGATGAAATGCGCTAACAGTATTACCATGTTTTCCTCAAAATAAGGCATATCCCGAAAATAAGCCCTAGTTAAGACCCCGCCTACTCCATCCCACCATCTGGGATCTCCCACGCCCCAACACCTGTTGTGCCACCTGACTTCTGTGGCCGCTTGCAGCTGGACATGTGGTGCACCGCGCCGGTGCCACTTCTCACGGCAGGCCACATGGCTCGTTGCGCTGGAGCTGCCGCTTGTGGCGGGAGGTCACATGGCACGTTGTGCCGGTGCTGCCGCTTGCAGCAGGCCACACGGCACATTGCACCACTGCCGCTACTCACACGTGCAATGGCACAATGCACCACGCAGTCTCCTGCCACAAGCAGCGGCACTGGTGTAACAAATCAGGCTGCATCCTGCTGCGAGTGGCGGCAGAATTAAGGCAGCGGCATGACAGGTGCCATTAGATGTCTTAGAGAAGAGACAGATTGCTTACCTTAAAACTGAACACAAATTTCCCGCCTTTATAGAATCCCTGTAAGGCAAGCATTGGACAGTTTAAGCAAGTATGGCTCCAAACAGAAGGAAACGACTCTCAGAAAGATCAGTTGTGGGAAAATGGGAGGTGGGCAGCATTAAAGTTACAACTAAGTAATTCACTTTCCAATTCATCAACTTCCCCATGTTTGTCACTTCAGCATACATCTACTTCACTCTCCCAAATTCTGGACATACAGTCAGCTACCCAACCTAGAACAGGCTTAAAAGATACAGAAGATGGAGAATTCTTAGCTGCGCTAGCAAAGAAGCAAAAATGGTAACAGAAGGACAGAACATCATACTCAGAAGAGGACAGAGTCTTTATTTGCTAATGTTCTGACTTCTGAGTATCTGTGATAACCAGAAACCTTGTCTAAAAAAGTAAACAAACAAAAAACCCCGGGTATTTGGATCAGGCAAAGCTAGAAAGTTTTCATTGTGAGCCTTGAATGGGATTGCGCTTCGATATTCTGGACTGGAGAGTAATTTGGGAGGGTTTTCTCCCAAGGAAAGCTGTCACACAGATCCATCTTGTGTACATTTTGGACTGAAAAGTCCTCCAGACAATTATTCATGTTTGGATATTCCATGTGGATGCACAAAATGTGCTCAACATGAGTTTGCTCTTGAAGACTACTCCGTTTTGGACATGCCATGGGGTGCCCACATAACACCTCTGCTCTGTGAGCTGCACTGGACACCAGCGGGCTTCCAGATGTTATTCAGGTGTATAGGGCCTACCTATCTGAGGAATAACCCTATAGTGTCTGCAGTTCTGTTTGAGCTGAAAAAGTTGGCATGCTTCAGATTCCATTGATTAAACAATATCTGATGGGAACAAGAAAGGGCAACGTCTGTGTTGTAGCACCTACCTTCTGGCACAGCATCATCCCAAAGATTTATATTCCTCTTACCCTGTCCTCAGTCAAATGAGCCCAGAGCCCTGGTTGCACAATGGAAGAACCCCGGTGGCGCAATGGGACAATTTGGCACAGCCAGGTCACCATTGCCGAGTTGCCTCTGCCAACTCATTGCAGGGACAACTCTCCACAAATAGCCAGAAGGAGAGCTGGGTGGGCAGAGTGCAGGGCAGCGGCTTCCCATTTTCACACCCATTGCTGCCAATGAGCGGCTCCAGGATGAAGAGGCCTGGGACGGCGATGGTGGCAGGGCAGGTGGCAGCGGTGATGGACAGGACGTGTGGTGGGGGCTTTCCTTTTTCACACCCTGCTGCCATGCCCCAAGCTGAAGAGGTCGGGGATGGTGGCAGAAGGCAGGGTGGGGGTAGCCCCATTTTCACAACCCTTGCCGCCACAGCAAGCTCTGGATCAAAAAGGCCAGGGACAGTGGTGGTGGCAGTATGTGTGAAAATGGGATGGCCCCGGCTACTACCACCTCCCTGCTGCCCACCATCGCCGTCCTTGGCCTCTTTGGCCCAGAGCTTGGCGGCAGTGGCAGCAGGTGTGAAAATGGAAAGCTCCTGGCTGCTGCCACAGCTCTGCCCACCCACTCTCTTGCCTGACCTACTTTCCCTCCAGCTGCCCACTGCGAGTTGTCCTGCGGTGACTTGGCAGCAATGAGCTGGGCATGCTGAGTTGTCCTATATCTGTGAAGTGGTTAGAATGTAGTATTGCAGGCTAACTCTGCCCACAGACTTGAGTTTGACTCAGCCTTCCATCCTTCCAAGGTTGGTAAAATGAGGATCCAGACTGTTGGGGGCAATATACTGACACTGTAATCCACTCAGAGAGTACTGTAAAGCCCTATAGAAAGGTAGATAAGTCTAACTGCTATTCCTATTGCTAACGCTAGCCCTTAAAGCCAGGCTCTGCCCCAAGGCCTTGGGTTATGTTGACTGTCAGGTTCCTTATGGGTATGCAGTATGGTTGAAAAGGTTTTTTTTAATATTGTACTCTTCCCAAAGTCATCATTGAGTCTGGCAGCTTTACAAATGTGATAAATATTTCAAGTTTCTAAATTTTACATGTGCAGCATAATCACTAAAAGCAAAACAATGAACTGATGACTCATCAACTCAATCTGAATGTACACAAGCCACTGCAAGGCATTTTTCCTCCTATAATATTAAAATAACATGAATCACAATTGACATTTGCAGACATTTTTGTCTCTTGCCTTGAATAAACAAAATAGCAAAAACCACTTTATAATGAACATATGCCAACAGGTTTATGATGCGTGTCACCAAATGGCAACTGCAAACTGTCTGCTGAGCTTGATTAACCTATTACTATAAGTTCCTAGATAATATAGGAATTAAATTAGAGGTCAGATTCAGTGTCAACATTAAACTGAACCTGGCAGAAGCAATTTTCTTGGTTCTCAGTTGCCACAATGTATTTTTTGGAGAGGTCAGAGGCTGGAATGCATTGCCAGACACAACACTAGTTTAGTTTAGTTTAGTTTATTAGTTTTGTATGCCACCCACTCTCGGAAGACTCCAGGCGGCTTACAATAAAAAGGGAGGGGAAATATAAAAACAATAAATAAACAGTTTAAAATTGCAACAACATCCACAACTTGAAATGGGGCTGGCCATTCAACAGCCCCAGGCCTGCCAGAACAGCCAGGTCTTCATCACTTTACGGAAGGCCGGAAGGGTAGTACGGGTCCGGATCTCAATGGGGAGATCATTCCAGAGGGCCGGAGCAGCAAAAGAGAAGGCCCTCCCCCGGGGGGTCGCCAGTCGACACTGACCGGCCGATGGAATCCGGAGGAGGCCTAGTGTGTGCGATCTCATCAGTCTGTGGGAGGTAATTGGCATGAGGCGGTCTCTCAGGTATTTCCCTGCCATGCCCACCACGCCACGCCACACCCACCAAGCCATGC